AACATGGGGTCTGATCAGTGTACAATAAAATGACTAAAATCAATCAGTTTATTATAGCAACCATACTACATGTTTTGGTCTGACCATCATCAGGTGTATACAAATAAATCAAATAGTGCTGAACAATATAATCAAAATAGATCCATTTTCCACCAAGTTTTAGTTGAAAGTTATTTGTGTTGGGGGTAAATATACAAAGAGTATTTTAAAAAATTAAAAACTTGGCTAACATTGCAAAATTCATACATATGGAGACTAAAAGCTCAAGACAGAATATAATGGATGGTATTTCAAAGGGAAGCCAAGTCTAAACCAAGGAGGAGGAGGAGGAGGAGGAAGGCTATGCCATAGCTCAAGCAGTTAGTGGCTGGCTTCCCACCACACCAGCCCGGGTTCGATCCCAGGTCTGCTCAAGTGGGATTTGTGGTGGACAAAGTGGTGCTGGGGCGGGTTTTCTCCGAGTTCTTCGCTTTCCCCTGCCAATCTTCATTCCGCCAAATTCTCCATCCTCATAATCACCCAAGGCAGGTACAATAGGCCAATCAGTGGCCGCCGTGCCGAGTGGACCCAGTTGGACTCCAGCCCCCACTAAGCCAAAAAAAAAATGAGGACAAAAAGGAGGAGGAGAACAACAACAGGAGTAAGAAGAAGATACATACATATATAAATGGTAAATATGACAACTGGTGGTTTTCGGGGGGTGGTGGTAATGTGTTGTGCTATAACCATTTTTGGAGGGAGAACTAGTGGCTTTGGATTTTGGTTTTCAATTGTGTGCACGTAGTTAATGAATTGGTACTACTGCTTGTGTATACTTGTATATCTTTGCATTTTCTTCTGGATGTTCTTGCTTACATCATATGTTTTATGGTGTTGCAGGGGATGTTTGGTGTGTTGTGCTGAGCAGTTTTATGGTACTCAATATATCACTGTGAATCAGTATTGTGGTTGTGCTGTGGTTTGCAGTCTTTGGTTTCACAAATTTTCTGTATTTATGGATATACAGTGAACTGGAGATATCGTCATTTTGTCGTTTGTTAGTTATGCATAGTGGCTTTCATGTAACTGGATTTTTCCATTTTGTTGCCATTTATGGTGTGCTTACTCATGTAACTGGTTGGAATACTGATGAACTGATCAACTTATTATTCTATTTGATTTCCAACCTTTCATTATAGAGTAATCAAAACCCATATTTGTTGTGCAACAGTACAAAACCCTACAACTGGCACAGTGTTTAAATTAGCAGAACCCTTCCATCATAAGGGATATACAGTTTGGCTCCAATTTCTACAATTCCCCAGATCTGGCTAAATATTGAAGTCACAGAAGACTGAATGGGTATGGATTCTAAAATTAAACACGAAGAATGTACCTTCAAACATGAACAAGCAAAAATTAAAGAACAGAGTGTGTCGTGTGCAACAAACACGAGGAAAGACAAGAAACAATGTATCAGTGTACCAACTGTGAAGTGGCCTTGTGTGTACAGGTGTTTTGACGTGTTTTGAGGTGTGTCAAGCCAAGAAGACTACCTAAGATAATGTGAACTGCAATTTTTCATTGCTCACATTAAATCTTTTCCTAATGAAAGCAATAAAAACTTACCTCGTACCACTTATACAGTATAAATAGTCTGTAGATATTCATTGGCACACATTCAAAATTTCATTAAATACAATACACATATCAAATTTGTGGCCTTCTGAAAAGCTCCTTCTGACTTTCTAGCTACTATTTGCAAAATTTGTAAATGCCTGGCAGAAAATCAGCCCACATGAAGCTCTAGACAGAGTTTAAATGCCACTACAACATTGAAGCCTAATAGTCAAAATATGCAACTGTAAGTATTAAGATACTGTATGTAATTTATAACAATTTTATGTAAGATTATGCGAGGCAGTACAAACACCTATAAGCTATTCTCCTGACATTTCTGAATTAATTAGTTCAATTTGAAATTACCTTCTACAGTTCTGTAACAACCAGAATTTACTATCAAAAGAACAATGACTCATCACCAATTGTCAATAGATTTTCCGTCAAGTGCAACAATATATATTTTGGTCACTTATTTATCTCATCTGCCTTACATGTTTCGGTTCCAAGGAACCATCTTCAGAGGCACTTACAACAAATCATGAAAACACTGGCACAGCTCAACATCCACAGTATGTAGTTATTTGTGGAAACTATTACATATATCGGAGTGTAAAGCACAACACTTCCCAGTATCTTGAATGCAGGTATAGCACTTGCATTTAAAAAAACCACCCTCAAACCGAGTCGTCAACGTTAAAATTTGAAGTTAAAAATTAAAAAACGTTCTAGTAAAATATTCAGGCTCCTTCTTGGTGAATCGTCCCAATGGGGGGAGGCGTCAGCACAGGGTTGTGTAGGCTTGTGGTCGGGTGTACCTTACGCGATGTGTATTGTGTACTANGTAAAGCACAACACTTCCCAGTATCTTGAATGCAGGTATAGCACTTGCATTTAAAAAAACCACCCTCAAACCGAGTCGTCAACGTTAAAATTTGAAGTTAAAAATTAAAAAACGTTCTAGTAAAATATTCAGGCTCCTTCTTGGTGAATCGTCCCAATGGGGGGAGGCGTCAGCACAGGGTTGTGTAGGCTTGTGGTCGGGTGTACCTTACGCGATGTGTATTGTGTACTACATTCAAGATACTGGGAAGTGTTGTGCTTTACACTCCGATATATGTAATAGTTTCCACAAATAACTACATACTGTGGATGTTGAGCTGTGCCAGTGTTTTCATGATTTGTTGTAAGTGCCTCTGAAGATGGTTCCTTGGAACCGAAACATGTAAGGCAGATGAGATAAATAAGTGACCAAAATATATATTGTTGCACTTGACGGAAAATCTATTGACAATTGGTGATTAATAGTGTAACGGACCAAAATGAAACAATTCAAAATAATGACTCATCAGTTTGTCCACCACAAGTTAGCTTGGGATAATTATTTCTGTCTTACGTGTTACAGTTTCAGTGTACTACATAAATCATACAAAATTGATGTAATATTCATTTCAATACCAGAGGCCATGAAAAGAAAAGCAATAATAATATGATGGATTTTCTCAAAGTATTGTTACACAACAGCTTGGTGAACAACCCGCCACTGACGTGCATGCAACAATAGAAGGACATCCATCTCTAGACCATGCCCGAAATATGCATAAGCAAAAAAAAGGGGGGGGGGTAAAGCTGTCCCTCTAACATGCTGGGTGTGAGAGGGTGAGGCTCCCACATGGCAGTAGGGTTGTCAGCCTTATGCATTGGCTGCCCTTTACCCCCCAGGAATCTTCCTGGTACTCATTTCTGAAAGAGGCCATATTGCAGCTGGAAGGTTCAGGTAAATTGAAAAAAATTCAATGAGCTCATCAGGAATTGAACCTGCAACCTTCTAGATTGTAGCACAGTACCTTGACCAACTATGCTACAGGCACACAACAATAGGCAGCAGACAGTGTGCCAATGGACTGGCTAAGTAGCCATCACGTGGGGACCCCAACATAATGGCACACAACAATGTGCATGGTCCATGCCGAGAGGATATAGGAGAACATGAGAATGGGAACTGAGTTCAGTTGTCAGTAGGAGATAGCCATGGGAAGTTTGCAGTTGAAGAAGAATTAAATGTTGGCCTGTGAAGACTTAGGGTGCGATTAGAAGATTTGGTCAAAGTGAGCCTGCTTTAATTCTGTTAGCAGGAGGCAACTAGTGAAGACTGAGTATACTACTGCACATGTAACGGTGAACTGTAAATTATGTAATTCAGTGACAGCACTGTATTATTGTAATTATGTGAGACTGTAACCAAAGTGCCAATAAATCCAATCTAGAACCTGTTATTCATCATGCGTACCCCCCTACACATGACAATATTGTGACGTGGATGGCGTAGTGGGAGGTGGGGGTCGCGTTAACTCTGTGATCTCACGAGTGACGTCACATACCCCCACTCCATCCATCAGTGTGCAACGCTCAGTAGACACCCCTTTCCCCGCGGTGACATAACACTGGACGCCGCAGTTGCTACATAGCTGTAAACAACTCCTGGCAGCGCTGCCCAGCAACGCCTCTGTAAACACGGCGGAGACTCCGTGCAACGACTGTTCCTAGGCAGTTGGTAAACACGACATTACACAACAGTGGTGCCTATTACGTAACTGTTTTCTGTGTTGTCCGTAACGGGGCTAAATAAGGAGCAGCGAATGCTATTCAACAGTTAGTTACGAGTTAGCCAGGGAGTGAGCAGTCAGTCAGTGTGTGAGCAGGAGAGAGACAGTGCGGATGGAACAGTCACCGAGTTCAGTTGTAGCGGAAAGAAGAATACCGGAACGTGTGATTAGAAGTGATAGCGTGAGAAGCAGATGCTTGGCTCACAAGAGAAGTAATTGGGAGTGTGTAATACAGTGACACTGGAATAGCTCCCGTATTGTACTGTAAATACGTGTAGACTACTGAGGACAGAGTGGACAGAATAGTGTGTAGGGTTTGTAAATTGTGTAAAACCATAACAGTGTTTTAATTAATTGTAGCCAAGACTTGTAGGTCGTTAAATAAACCAATTAACAATCCGAACGGCGTCTTCAGTGGCAAAAACACGTTACAATATTAACAAACATGTAAGAAAAATTGTTTTAGCCATATTAAGTCATGAATTTGACAATGATGATCATTTAAGCTTTCACAAATATACGGGGTTAGTATAAAGAAATAGACACTTTCAACGTCTTATAGAACACTTGTAACTTAGTCACACAAACTTAAAGACATATACTAAAAAGTAAGTATTTTGGCTATATCAAGAATACTTCAGTTTCCATAAAACAGTGAAAGTGTCTACTTCTTTTATACTAACCCTGTATTATACAATCTACCTCTAAATAAGAATTTTAAGGCACATGAAAAAGAAAAGACCAGAGGCTCCAGAAACAAAATTAAAGTTAATGGTACAGTGGGAAACAACCAACCTGGATCTTCATTACCAGTAAGAAGTGATAATGGTGATGTTACAGGCATGGACTCAGGCCACACAGTTGAGAACTCGTGCTGTAAACTAAAATAAAACAAAAACACAAAAGAAAAATTCAGAGAACTTAAATGCTGTAAGGGCCCTTGTCCACGACAAGAATTTTCGCCGTCCGCCATTCTGATAGATTTACTGGGTTGGTAGTGATACATTGTTTCATATGAGAGTTTGTCCACGAGCCATCACAGCAAATCTACTGGTCCAGCTGCCGGATGCAGCACCGGATTCCCACTGTAGAGACGGCAGCCAGATGGTGCACCGTGTTCTCAGTGGGACATGTGAGCTCGCCGTCAGTCATCAGTTGGTCTTGAGCGTGCAAGTTTCATGTGTTTTGTGTCTGTAGTATTCTTTTCATTAAAATGAGCGCAAGTAAACAATTTGAATGTGTACTCACCTCAGTGTCACTGCTAGCATTTCAGGAGGAGAAATGCAGTTCTGCATATTGGTGTCGTCATGTTTCAAATGGATGCATAAAATTGTCAGTAACTTGTCAAATCTTTCTTTTGACATTCTAAAAAAATTAACATGATTGAGTCGTCCTGTCGTAGTTTTTCAAACAGCGTACTAAATGCACCAAATTTAAATCGGTCTTGCAACACAGGATGAACCCAATACCTTCTGTGTCGTCGCTGTTTCTTTTTGTAAAAATAATATAGTGCAATGAGGGTGCATACATCCGTATTATCCATTCTACTGCACCCGTGCACAGACTCACCCTGACTTGAGTGAAACATTTTCTGCGCGCCTGCCATCTCCGTGGACAAGGCCACCCAGTTTTGTTTGACAGCCGGCAGAATTACCGTTCCAGCAGGAATTCTTGTCGTGGACAAGGGCCCTAAGGATTGACATAATTTAGATCCAACAATTAGTTGGAATTACATCTTTGTATGTAGCCAACCAAATTACCAATCAGACGTGAAAAATTACCCAGTAACAAAACTTCACACACACAGAATTAGAACAGTTACTACCAGAAAGACCCACAAAATCACATTGTGGAAAAATTACAGAGTAACATGCACAACTTCAAGAGTAGGTTAACTGTCTAAATTGAACTTGGTATATTGAAAATAAACACAAATTCATGGTAATGTCACTTGTAAACAAAGCAACCATAAATTATATTTAAGAATACACTGCAGAAGCAACTGCAGTTGTAAATATGTAATTTTGTGTAACATACCATATTATTTTTTGACAAACATGACTATAATAAAAATCTTTATATATCATACTAGCTGTACCTGGCCACACGTTGCTGTGGCAGATCGAGTGAATTCAAAAATTCTGTCAGATAATTAACAGCTTCATCTGCTTCCACAACAGTGTCGACGGACTTGTATGTGACTGCCTCGCGATGAATGTTAGACTGAATGATATTGTTAAGTTCGTAGATGTCTTTGTTCTTGGCCGCAAGAATAGCTCGTTCACTCAGCCAATCGTGATTCTTATAATTGGTTTGAATATCGCAAACATCCTTCACCAAGTCAAACACTGATCGTGCAGACGCACTTATTCGTGAGAATAGGCGCATCATTATCAACCAATTCTTCTTTTGATGTCACTAAATTGCAGAAGTTATAAGGCAACGAAATTCGTCCTGAGGTCAGATCAACCGACACCTTTCCGTTCCCAATTTCCAGCAATTGATGTGAGACTATCTCAGCTGATCGATCGTTTTGCAGCTGGACACACATATTTGTAGTTAATTTTAACAACTTTACGTGTCGCCACAAAGTAGAGTATTTCAGACAAGTATTTATTTCGTCCGCTGGTGTCGATCGAGGAATTACAGGTAATGTTTGCCTGAAATCTCCTGCAAGCAATATTAATGCGTTCCCAAATGGTCTGATGTTTCCACGCAAATCTTACAATGATCGATGAAGAGCCTCGAGCAATTTTTTTTGCGCCATTGTGCATTTATCCTAAACAATAAGTTTGCATTTCTGTAATACCCGTCCCATGCCTGATCCTTTGGAAATGTTGCATGTCGGAGTTTCAATGAATTGCATGTTCAATGGCAATTTCAATGCGGAATGAGCAGTTCTTCCACCCTGTAGCAATGTCGCAGCTATTCCAGATGACGCAAGAGCTAAGGCTATGTCATTTTGGGATCGAATCGCTGCCAGAATCAATCTAATTAGGAACGTTTTACCAGTTCCTCCTGGCGCATCTAAGAAGAAGAATTCTGCAATCCCGTTATTGACAGTTTGCATTATTTGATTGTAAATGCCTTTTTGCTCAAGCGTTAGCTTAGGAATATTTGATTGCACATATGACAAAAGATCACCCATGTTGTAATTTTGTTCACGACGCTATTCTACATTGAACGAAGCAGCAGCAGATCGATTCGGTGATGGCATTCCCAATTGATTGAGAACTTTGTTCGCGATTTCTAAGCACAAATCTTCAATCATTATCAAGGCTTCGTTGCAGATTTCTGCTGTGAAATCCATGTTCATATTGGAATTTTCCTTAGTATTCGATGGAAAATATCTTCAGCTGTGTGCGATTTATTTTCTCCCATAACACTGCTGGAGATGAAGGAGAGCAGGTGGTCATTATGATTGCAAACAATGCACGAATTTGATGTGGATGTGACGTGTTGCGCGCGTCAGTAATGCATGTAGCGTGTTTGGGTATGTCACGCTACAAATAACTTTACACCATATTAATTATAGCGAATCTTTATTGTAATTCACTTGCACACTTTACAATTATCACCACTTGCAGTATTAGAGTTAGAGGTTACACAATCTCTCGGCCAATACTTCTGTATCTCTTGGCATCTAGGTTCCATCCTTCTTCAGCGGCAGCTATTCCAAGACTGACTGGGCGAATGAATTCAACCCCCTTTAATACCTGCGGCCACTGCTATGCAAATGAGCCCTTGTCATAACCGCGGAAACACTGCTTTGTTGATTCTGCGATTCCTACGCAACGACCCATTGTTATTGTGTTGTCTCTGTGGGAACGGTCCGTGTATTCGTCATAACCATGGAGATTTGATACAGTATCGCTATTGTTACTTCCCATGCAACAGTCTGTTCTAGCGTTTCCATAGGGGTGACTCTTCTGAATTCCAAATTCCAATTCTGTTTTTCAAAAGACGCATGTTTTTACCTGTCACAGGTGTGACATCTATATAATGGGTATATAAAAACACGCGCATATTCGAATGCAACGGTGTGTCAAAATTTCAAAGCAATTGGTGAAGAACTTTCAGAGATTTTTAGGGGTAACAAACGAACAGTTACATTTTTATTTATATAGATTCTGCGTTAGTACAACTATACATTAATATAAACCAACTTCAAAGGGCATTATCAACTATCATTAGAGCCATTAACATTGTTCTGTCTGTTTCTACATACAAACTGTAAAGCAAAGCCTATACAGATACTGTACAAATGTCAAGTATTAACAAGAAGTTTTAGAAAGAACTAATTCCCTACCTTCCTTTCACTATGGTTTGAGCACTTGATATGACAAGTATGAAAAAAAACCTTTAGAATATATGTGCAATGAAGCCAATAAAACAATACAATCTGAAAGGCTGCAGTGTTTGTATTACTAACAGGGGTGACTTATGAAGTATGCTGTTGAGATGGCCTCAGGTGGCATGATATATATACCAAGTCTGATGACAATCGCTTCAGATATTCAGGTAACATTAAGGTTACTATCTCAACAATTTCAGAGGCTGCAGTATTGGTATTACTGATTCAAAGGACTTACGTTATTATGCTGCGGAGATACCCGGACTATGTCAAAAAAAAAATGCTAGCTTAACTTACTCAATTTTGGCTGACATTTCCTTCAAAACAGTAGCCCTTTGGTATGTATACAGCGATCCCATCATTCTTTCCACACTTCAAAAGCACCATGGAAGTCATTTTCCCTAATGCTGCAATTTCTTTTGGATGTCAGACACTGTTTCAAAACATCATCCCTTCAAGTAGTTACTATAGGATTCTGACGATGGTGTATAACACACTGACATATTGAGTTTTTGGACTTTATCCATCGTCCTGGTTTCTAAGATAACTAATAAAAACATGACGTTTCGGAAACTGGATCTGTTTCCATCCTCAGGTGAAGGAAAACACCTATTCTGTTGGGTCCAGTGATTGAGGCTAGCTCTTTCTAAGGGACCCAACAGAATAGGTGTTTTCCTTCACCTGAGGATGGAAACAGATCCAGTTTCCGAAACGTCATGTTTTTATTAGTTATCTTAGAAACCAGGATGATGTATAAAGTCCAAAAACTCAATATATCAGTGTATCATCCCTTCAGTTTCATTTGCAATTTGGGAAACAAAGCGAAATCACAGGGGGCTACATCCAGCAAGTACAGAGGATGGGGAACAATAACCATCTTGTTGTTAGTCACAAACTCTGTGGTTTTCAGGGAAGTATGGGTGGATGTGTTGTGATGAAGGAGCCAGTTGTGGTTGCACCAAAGTTCCAGTCTTTCTCGTTGGATATTTTCTCTCAAGTGTCTCAAAACATTACAGTAACAGACAGAGTTGACTGTAGTCTTAGGAGGAACAAATTCATGATAAACAATCCCCTTCACATAGGAAAAAACAACAAGCATGCTCTTTGTTGAACTGTGGACCTGCCATGCCTTTTTTGCTCTTGGTGATTGTGCGCTCTCCCACTGCGACGATCATTGCTTTGTTTCTGGATCGTAACCATAAATCCAACTTCCATTATGCGTTATGATTCTAGAGATAAAAGTTGGGTCCTCTTTAGCCTTCTCTCATAGCTCAAGACACACGATTACATGCCACTGCTTTTGATCATTTGTCATGAGCCAGGGAACAAACTTCGCAGCAACATGGCGCATGTTCAAATTTTCTGTTAAGATCTCCCAGCAAACTCCATCACTGATCCCAGTGGGGTCTGGGAGTTCATGAATTGTTCAATGACTGTCTTTGTGGATGAGTTCTTGAATTATTTCAATATTTTCTGTCATTTTGCTGGTGCCTGGTCCCCCTGAACCTTCATCATCTTCAACTGACA